CCACGTTTTATTCTACGCACAAAACAAGAGCCCTTTGCTAATATGTCTCAAGGGGTAACGGACGTAATTTTCTTCTCGATATGAAGACCTTCCAGAAAACAAATCAACTTCCAAAATAATTGTTTTTTAGGCGACCGAAAGAATACTGAAAGTCTAATAAAAAGAGAATCACAGATACCAGTCGTACAAATGCTGTGTGCCAAAGGTGAAACATAATTTTTTCTTGCTGCTAGGCGTAAACAAATCTTCGCAAAAACCAAGCACAGTTATCAAAAAAAAATTACTAAAAATGTGAAGAAAAAGCGAAAAAGGCCAGTTCCGAAAGGTTAGAAATTTTAAATAGTTGTTCCGTAACCCTCTGATATTCTTTTGACGCAACATCACATACTGTGCAAAATTCAGAACTTCCTTCTCATCGGTTTATTGCCATGCATACGTCATCCATAGAAGTCTTCTGGTCATAATATTGATTCAACATTGGTTGATAACTTTTATTCTTCTTTATGAGCATCACTGAATACTGACCGGGTAGAGTGGCCATAAAATCCTAGAATAGTTGCTCTAGACGCTATTAGACTTTTATCATTAGCAGTGGTGAGCATATGTGAATAAATGGAGGCTTCACCAAAAATGCCGATCACGGCAATATGGGAGGACTGATTGGTCTAAGACGGAATCGAAACACCGAGATTCAAAGAGCAGTGATTTTCCGCAGTTCCAAAAATTCAAATTTTGCGATGCAATCGGATGTTCAATATCGTTCAAAAGCCCCATTAAACTGTAGATCTAGATTTCGACTAACGAACGTAATCACGTCAAAAAACAATGGGAAGCTTTTCAAGAAAGGATTAGATAGGCAATTGATGAGCAAGAGTAAGTTGAAAAAATCTTAATATCAATATACTGCATCACCGACATCACGACAACATGTGGAGTGAAAAGTGCTGGGCTTACTGTGTCGGCTGAAGCAACAAAACATCAAGCTACGGTCGTAAGTGACACTTCTGGCGAAGAAAAAGTGATGAGATTCAATAATAATCGACAAAATGTAGGACGACGAATCATGTGTGGTGTTTTTCGTCTCAAATTTTTCAATAGAGTGGGATATTCGACAACAGGTGCCACATTGTGTGAGTGTGGCTGCCTCAAAAAAAGCCGACGAAAAGAGCAAGAATTTAACGAAAACCACCCAGACATAGATGCTAGGAAATCTTCGGCTCTCGCCTTTTACTTTTAACGGACATCGCGTACTGTGCTGATTTTAGGACTTTTGCTATTTGACTCGTATTCTCACATCCATTGTCTGAGGTTTTTGATTTCCGTAAACGTCTGGCTGCTGCGCGAAGATTTTTGGTTTCCTTTATCAATTTCATCGATTCATGGTCGAATGGCTTCTATCTAGAATAACGGGATGGTACGTTAGAAGGTTTTTAAGTCTCCATCACTAGCAATCAGTAGTACTTAAAATCCACAAGGGCTTTCCAGACAAATCTGTTACGAAGTTAACGAAGAGATGAGACCTTTGATTACCAAGGTGTATTGTAAAACTAGGATCCATGGTCGATTGCGGAATCTAATAGTACTCGCTATCTGGAAAAGCTCATCAAAAGTTAAAAGTTTGAATCAGTTTACTAAACTTATCGATTGTTCATAGGGAAGTTACTTTATATAAGCAAACGCAATAAAAGCATACAATTTTTCATCAACTTTATTGGACCGGGGCTTGATTTCTGTCTTGTACAAAAACTCCGTAGAATGATAGAGATTGCGAGAATCTTAGGTGAGATAGAAGATAAGGAACAGCTTGTTTTGTTTTGTTTTCTGTTTTCTAATATGTTGTCGACGGTTTAAGAAGAGCAGCCGTTAGAGGTGCTTGAACAAGCAAAGCTACTGGTTCAAAAATGAGCTAATCCAGCAGAAGCCAATATCCTTACGCGCCGCAAAAAAAAGTTTCTCTGCGAAAAGCTCCTTTCGATTCACAAAGCTGGCAAATGCCAGTGGCAATGACCTGGGAAAGCTTCAGTAAAGTATGGGTTTTAACAAGAGTTAATTTAACCAGTATTGAAAAGCATCATAATACTCGCCAACAGCAGCGGAGTCCGTAGCTAAAAAGAACGAATCTTTTAAAGTAATGCTGAGGCCCTTATGTGAAATCTGGCAAAAGCAAATCTGGAAATAAAGTTGAATAAATTTTTGTTGCCGAGCGATAGTGGAAATCTAGAATAACAACGGATGTCATGAGCTTGGAAAGACAAGGTAATTAATATGATCAGAAAGTACGAATGCTACGCCGGAATCGATAAGGAGTAGCAGGGCGATCAACAGAGAGCGATCGGAAGCGAATCCTACAATAAAACTAGTAGTCTTGTGAAATTCATATAGTCAGCTTCATGGCACTCGTATAAGACGATTCTGATATAGTGTCATGACATTTCTTAAAAGCGTTGGCATTTCAAAATGAAATATACAGACTACGAATAGTGAAATTGATACTGGCAAAAATTATTGCATTGAAGTGCCTGTGAAAATTGCCTCGCAAAACTGAATGCTCAACTTTTTTGATTTTATCTCGAAGACAACTTTTTTAATATGAAGTACTGTTTATGAAATGAGTTTCTGCTAGTACCGGAGATTAGAATTACAGGCGTCAAAACAGAAGTTTAAGCAAATCTTCATTTACATATTAAAACTCGGTTCTACACAGCGCAAGCAGCGCGGAACATTAGTGACGTGAGGGATCCAGAACCCTAACCAAAGCGCTGTTTTTGGCTGATTTGAGAAATTTCGTCGTGGCGAGCCTGACCTGAAGGTTAACGGACACCACGAAATTCTTTCTGCTAATGACGACGGTGAGCTAAAGCCTTTGGTAAAAGTATGCACGCAAAACTGAAATATCTCAAAAAATTCATTCTTAATATCCAAATTGCCTCAGAGTATTTAGAGGAAATTTTGAAAGCTTTAAAATGGATGCCATACTAATTGCAACATGTCGAACTAGCAACACACATCCACATGTGGCACAACCGACACTGGAATGATGGGAGCGAGGCGGCTTACGAAACTTTGCCTTATGAACCACACAGTGCAGGCCTTTCACCTACCTACTGCCACTTCTTCAAACACTTCAAACACCTAGATTTTTTGTGCGTTTTTTGCTATGAAGCCACAGCGCTGTCAAGACTGTCCGTATCAAATTCCTTTATTCCAGAGCTCAGCTTTCAACATCTGAATTAAAGATGTTTGCATTTTGCGGACATAAGTTTGCAAAATCTGATGAGTTTTTTCGATTGATAAAGTTCATAGTGAGCGGACATATGCCATTTGGATACTATAGGTTGAATTCGCGTAATGGGTTTTAAACAACCTAATATTTCAAAAGTAAGGACACTGAGTAAAATGCACATCTGGAAGCAAAGAAGAGAGTTGAATTGGCGCTTCGACCATGCTGTAGTGCGTGAAAGGGTGTAGTGGTAACTCACCCCTGCTGTGGGTGAGGCACGGGTTCAACTCCCATCAGAGGAAGAGTGTTTTGCGCATCACTCAGTATTTTGGATATGAGGTTAGAAGATCAAGCGAGTGCTGTAAAACGGTAGAATGAAAGATTCTTGTAGATTAAAGGAAAAACATTTTTCTCTCCACCTGTTCTCGCATATTCGCGCATGGGCACTACTCCTAGAAATAAAGCAATCTGGAAAGCGATCGGTTGACCAATCGAAAGATCTGCTGCGGTCATGAAAGAATCTTAATCCTAAAGTTCCAAACTCCTTTCGAATTCACAAAACTGTGCAACAACCTGCAGCGACGAAGTGAGAGCGTTCCAGAGCGATCACCGCTGGCTCCAAAAAAAAAATCATGTTCAAGATGTTCATCATATGGAAGAAACAAAAGCTCACCGTTCCTAAAGTTGATTCCAAACCCACATACTATATCCATATATGCCAAAAAATCAGTTTTGAGCCACACATGTCATTTGGTCTGTTAAAGATGGGGCTAACTCATAGAACCCGATACACGAGTTTCGATCTTGCAGTCTCGTCAGTCGGGCAGTTACCCTTTCTCGTATTTTGCCACTCCTGCGTGGGTGCTCCAGTCCCCACACCAAGAGTTAGGACAACGCGCGTTTTACACTCTTTGTCCAGTGAAATTACCACCGAACACAGAGTGCTGTACACTAGATTGCTCTTGGTAGTATATTCAATATATCATATCATTCGTTTCGAGTGTTTTCTTGAAACCACAGCTCAAATTCCAATATGTCAAGGAATCATTTTTGAACCACGCATGTCACGTGATCCGTTGAAGAAGGGCTGACTTATAGAGTCCATTACATGTGTTCGACCCATGCGTGGCTCGAAACCATTCTTTGATATACTGAAATTTGAGCTGTGGTCTTAAGAAAACACTCGAAACGAATGACATGGTATATTAAATATACTACTCAAGAGCAATCTATTGCACAACACTCTGTGTTCGATGATAATTTCACTGGACAAAGAATGTAAAACGTTCGTCGTCGCTAACTCTTAGTTTGGGGACCGGAGCACCCATAGAGTTAGCAAAAAGACGAGAAAGGGTGCCTGCCCGATTGACGAGACTGCAATGCTCTATAAGTTAGCCGTCTTCAACAGACCACAGGACACGCGTGGCTCAAAAATGAATCTTTGGCATATTGAAATCTGAGCTGTGGTCTTAAGAAAACACTCGCAACCAATGATTTGATATATCCATATACTATACATTATACTTAAAAGAACTGAGTGGCCAGCAAAAACACGACCTCAGGCGGGAGTCGAACCCGCGTTTTATCCATACCGGAGACGCGTGCTACCACTACACTACCGAGGTACATTCGCGCCAGCACTCATTCTTCACTATCTCTATGATAGCGGTCAACCATCAATCGTTTATAAAGCGAAATCGCATACACGACTAAACCTGTTAAAGGTTGGTGGCTGACAGCTGTCATAGAGATATTGAAGAATGAGTGATGGCGCGAATGTACCTCGCTAGTGTAGTGGTAGCGCGCGTCCCCGGAATGGAGGAAACGCGGGTTCCATTCCCGTTTGAGGTCACATTCTTGCACACCACTCAACCCTCTTGCATATATATGAAATGCAGTAAAAACACTAGCAGTTTCAAGTATTAAGTATACACAACATCCATCCACTTCTAGCACGACATTAACCTCTAAGGGACGACGTATAACACCACAGTTACACAGTTGTTAAAAGGGCTTTCTTGCTGCAGAAAAATTTTCTTCCATACGTTTGATGATCTTTCAAAAGCTGAAATCTCTGCGATTCCAAAAACCTGTTTAGCTTCAGAAAAAGCTTTTCATTACCTCGCCACAGCAAAAATAAAATTATTTTTCACGCTCAATTATCTTCATTTGCCCGGCGGGATCGCTGTACTGCTCCTCACTAAAGTTTTAAACTCATTGGATAGCCCAAATCTCGAGGATTTGATGATAAAATTAATTTTTTGAAAGATTACCATATAACGCCATATAAGTGAAAATAAGCTCATGTTTCACGCCCAAAATGCTACCCCCCCCCCCCCCCCCCCCACTCCCGCCTAGAAGTCATAGATGGTTTATTGGTAATTATAGATAAATTTCATATGTCAGAGGCAATGTCAGAGGCATCTTATTACTGCAGAAAGAATAGAATATCATAAGTGAATTACCTGTACAGGTTTTTTAATTAAAAAAAAAGCGACTGCTCTCATTAAACCCTTCATCACAGCGGTAATACCATATTCTTGGAAAAAAATCGAACTTTGAACCCTTATCATGCACTTCCATTGCTTGTCTTGCAAAAACATAGCTTGAAGACACATCTTTTACAGCTCAACATCTCTAACAAAGTTTTATGTGGAGGTATTTCTAATACGTAGCTCGAGTAAGTGTAGAAAGAGCGCGTGTTCATCATTGCGTATGACTCGATACTTCCTCCATGAGCACCCATACTCAGAGAAAAGTATTTTTCGTTCTTTCTAGGCATTTTAATAGGTATTCGATAGCTTGAATTTCGAAAATTAAGAAATATACTTCGTTCTTTGAGAGGTCTCTGTATCGGACTGTAATATTTTTTTATCTAAAACTTGAGCATCTTTCGATGAGCAAAGCCTTTCCTCAAAAAATCCAGCAGTTCTTCAATAGCACAAATCTCGGAGTATTTTATTTAGTGAACTTTACACTCGGCGCGCACCGGACGCCACATGTAAACTGCGCTGCGCGACCGACCTGGCGCCGAGTGCGAAACTCATAGCTGTAACAACACACTGAAACGTTCTTCTCGAAAATCAAGCTTATCATTGAGATCGCTGAGATTTGTGCTATCGAATGGTTATTGGAAACTTGAATTGAAAACCTCTGTACAGCAAAATTTACTTAAGTGTGAAAGAAAATTTGGTACTTGTATGTTAAGCGGCGACAACTATATCAGCCAATCTCATTCGCTGAACAGGCAATTTTCATAGAAGTGTTTGTAGTCATCCGAAAACTTAAATCTCTACCTACAACCATGCACCGCCGGTTTTTAAAACACTCTTTTATAATTCTGTAGTATCCAGAAAACAATTTTATTTCTCAATCGCATTTCGCTTCATTTTCACCACGATTAGAAATTGCTAGGAGCCCGAAAAGCATGTCAGTGTGTACAGAACTTTCCATTGTGTCAAAATCACGCGCCGATTAGGATTTCTCGCTACATCGACAGAAACTTTAGATGAAAACGTAGATTCTGATACTACGGAAAATTGTCTACACGCTGATTCGCTTTGCGTGCTCCCAGCGATTTATACGCGTAGTAAAAATCAAGGCGAAAGGCGAATGAGAAACGAAGTTTCATTTTGGATGCTACAGCGAAATAGAAGGGCTATCTGAAAAGCCAGCAGCGCATAGTCCTAGCCAGAAATTTGAGCTTCCTAATGATTACTAATACTTCTTAGAAAAGATCCTAACCAGTGAATGAGATCAACTTTAGAATTTTCGCCGTCTAACACATAAGTACCGAAAATTTTACTTTACCTTTACCGTATAATATAGAAGCCATTTGAAAAATAAAACACTCCCTTCAGATCTTTGATGTTCAAGCTGTCGAATAATTACTAAAGCCTCGAAGAGGAATAGAAAATACTTTTTTGAATAAGGGTGCGGATAGGAGAGAACACTGAGAACACTTCTCTAGCGACACATATTGCTGACAAATAGTCTGCTTAATGCCAATGTTCTAAGCGTTCTATTCAAACACGGCTGTCCCTTACTGCTCAGAATTCCTCCATTATCCATAAGTACTCAACCCTCCTCTCTCGCTTACTTCAACTCTGAATAATTAGAAATAAACGAATCATTATATCAACTTAACTGTAGTGAGAGTTCTGAATGAACTAGCATCGAATACAGCATGCAATATGATTTTTGCTCTAAATTACTCATTGTTTTGATTTTTATTCACTACGATGGCTCTTTGGTCTTGTATAAAACAATGGTTAATCAAAACTAGAGTTTTTCAATGTGATATCCTCCATACAATTCGACACAGTTGATTAATTGTCAATTTAGTTGTTGATTTTCTTCTTTAAGCCAAACACGAGGTGTTACATTAAACTTTATTTGACAGCTGACGTTTCGGCAGTTCGCCTTCTTCAGAGCCTGGAAAGGTCAAATTATCCACAATCCAATCATTCAAGCACCTCCGCTACTCCTTTAGAAAAAACCACCAGACCTAGATCTTAGTTGTATCAAGCACAAAATCAACTCTCAACATACCGCTTTCTATATGAATACCACTGAATGATTCAAGGGGAGAGTACCGGAAGGACATCATATAAGCTCGTAATGCACCTTACCCATCAAAACAACAGTATTATATACCGACACAAATCACGAGTGATAACGAGGCATTCCTCCCTGTGGTTTACAGTTGGATTGGTGGTGTTAATCCAAAACGCTTCCAAAATCTTTCGCGCTGATATTTCTTGTTCCTGCGCAAGGATGGTGACTTCGGTCTCAAAATCAACTCCGTAGATACAGTCTACCTAGTCTCTTGCAAAGCGTGTAGCGGCAAATATATTGGCGAAACGGGTAAGCCGCTCTATGCCCGCATAGAACTGACAAACGTCTCAATAGACGGAATACCCCGCTAGGGACGCATAGAGAACAGAAACACGACGGAGTTGATTTTGAGATCGAAGTCACCATCCTTCCGCAGGAACAAAAAACATCAGCCCGAAAGATCTTGGAAGCGTTTTGGATTAATACGACCAATCCCCATAAACCGCAGGGAGGAATGCCTCTGTAAACACTCGTGATATGAGCCAGTATATAAGACTGTTGTTTTGATGGGTAGGGTGCATTACGAGCCTATGTGTCTCTCTTCCGGTGATCTCCACTTGGATCATTCAGTGGAACACATATAAAAAGCGGTGAGTATGTTGAGAGATAATTTTGTGCTTCATGCGATTGAAATCTAGGTCTGGCGATTTTTTCTAGAGGAGTAATGGAGGTGTTTGACTGATTGGATTGCGGACAATTTGACCTTCCCAGGCTCTGAAGAAGGCGTACTGCCGCAACGTCAGCTGTCAAATAAAGTTTAATGTAACACCTCATGTTTGGCTTAAAGAAGAAAATCAGGAATTATATTGAAGCATGCCAATAATAGACAGTCGGTCTTGGGAAAATTTAGCATAATTCCGTAATAAACCAACGCCTTTTCTAAGCAAGACACATACATCTAAACTAAGATCATATGAGTGAAAAGCGAAAATCTTTTTTTTTTATCAAAGTAGTCCGCAAATTCCAAATATTTACGCAAACGGTGGAAAAAACCTTGATCAAATAGCGAAAATCGCGTATTTTGCTCCGCTCGCATTGAATTCTATAGCCGTCCCTTAGGGGTTAAAGGACATGATAGCGAAAAGGAGTGGTGGAATTCACACATAACGTAAAAAACGAGATTTTTGAGTATGTGAAAAGGCTGCGGATAAAATATCAGTGTTTCTGAGCCCCATATTATCCCATTTATTGATTTCAAAGAAACCGATTTTTTGAAACCAGTATTTCCTATCACACTCCACAAGAACGTTTTGATTGACGCCGAAATACAAACCATTCACGAAACGTTATTAGAGAATGAAGGCAAAAAATTATCTATGCCATCGATTATACAACTTTTGACTCTTATGAAAAAGTGTCTCATCAGGAAGATATGTGGAGCAGATGAGAGAGTTGGCAATGCAGTGATTAGCACAATGGTCGTCGTTGCCTTCTTGGGTTAGGGTGGAAGGCTCAGTTGTCAGCAGTCGCCCATTACTCTACCGCTAATACTTAAGTAATTGTGTGTCATGCGCTGTCAACAAGAAGACAGACAAGTGTTTCGAACTGTTGAATGAACATCTAGGAGTATGGAGTGATATTGTACCCACGTACCACCCATACCAAGGGCGTGTGCTATCACTGCACCACCGAGACTAACACTTTGCTACCACTCTTTCTTCGACATAGCCTATCATAGCTGTCAACAACCAACACGAGACTCATCGGGTAAGCACGTATCGGTATTAAGCCCGGTTAAGCTGGCAATTATTCGAAATCTTTTTCCGAATGAACTCTGTAAATTTACTGCTTTTTGTTCACTGCTGAATGGACAGAGCACATATGACAATTACCTAATGAAAACTGGCATTCAATCCTGAACGTTTCGATAGCCTCTCGTAAAGTGGTCAGATTGTGAGGTGGTAACAAAAGCTGAGGAATAAAAGTAAACCGGTACACTACCTTTCCTCTCATCCTTCAGACACCAAAAAACACTTGCCCCAAACATGTAAAGCACAGTGCCTGTACTGAGAATGAAGCAAAAGAAAGGAGTCTTTACAATAAGCATAATATTTAGCAATCTCAATGTCTACGAAAGAACAGCCACTAATGTTCAGTCAAAAAGTAGAGGTTCGCCTTTGCAGTGAAGATAATAGTCTCCTAAACTTGAGTAGTGAGATACCTCCGTGATACTCATCATAACAAGCTGAGTAGCCGCTTTTAAAAGATGTGTGGAAAAAAATCCTCTCAATACA